AACCCATTCATAGGCCTGCCACTGAAGTCAATGGGGGAGGGAGGGGTTTGATTGTCTTCAGTGGGCTCCTGATCAGCCCTTATTCCTTCCATGTTCTACTGTGCTACCACCATAACAGCCAGGTAGACAGTAGAGACTGCTCCGCTCCCCTTGGATGATGTCATGAGTCAGTGAATGAGCCTGAGTCTGCTCCCATATAAAACTCTCTTTGAGGTCAATGGAAGAGAAACTGGTGTTTGAAATGATAAAATTAAGAACTGAGGGCAAGGAAAGAGGGACAAACAGTAAAATAAATTCACATCATCTAGATCCTAAAATTTTGCTTTTACATTACTTGCCTTTTGATACAGGGCATATTTTTACTGTTGTTATAGCCTTTATAAATCTAACAAATCTACTTTTTCCTTTGGCTTGGATCTGAAGGGTAAAGCCAATGAGTTCAACACTTATAGCCAAGAACAAAGTTTGGCTCACTGCACTGAATGTTCATTCTGTGGGTCAAATTCCTCATGCTATAGCACTGAAGACACTCTAAGAAGGAGTAAGGGGATTAGGCTTGTCTCACACTAGATGTTGCCAGTTCAGAATGAAATGTACATTCAAATTTAGTTTAAGTATCTTACAGTTACTGAGAGTTTTCCAACGATTGTACCACCACATAAAGCTGCATGAACACAACAAAAATGTTCCATAAATATTCATTTTAACCAATTGATTCAGAGATGCTTACATTCCTTTTTTTGCTCTCTGCAAATAATTGCATGATTGAGTTTTCCTGGAATGTTCAAAGAATACAAACATTATGCTTGCCTGCTTACTCACCCACGAAAACGTCATTTTAAATTTGTTTTCTGTTAGTATTCACAGCAGGAACCTGAATTATCCATATACAATCAGGAGCAATAAACAATACACCAAAACTTATAAGAATGAATGATCATAACTAAACAATACAACTCAACTGTTAGACTGCTAATTTCAGAAGTAAAAAAATGGAGAAAAGTTAATCAAATAACAAAAACATTTGAAATAATCATAATCTGTTTACATGCAACCTCTGAATGGGAAAAATAAATTGTTCACTCAGCTCTAAGAAATAAAAATATAATTTTTTGATCGAGATTTAAATTATACTTTTTCTGTGCCAAAAATGTATTATTTTAGGTTTCAATCAATTATTTTAAGTGGCCAAATCATAGAATCATAGAGCTGGAAAAGACCTCAGAAGGTCATCAAGTTCAGCCCCCTGCTCTAGGCAGGACCCATCCCAACTAAATCACCCCAGCCAGGGTTTTGTCAAGCCAAGACTTAAACACCTCTAGGGATGGAGACTCCACTACTTCCCTAGGTAACCCATTCCAGTGCTTCACCACCCTCCTAGTGAAATAGTTTTTCCTAATATCCAACCTGGACCTCTCCCACCACAATTTGAGACCATTGCTCCTTGTTCTGTCATCTGTCACCACTGAGAACAGCCTCTCTCCATCCTCTTTGGAACCTCCCTTCAGGAAGTTGAAGGCTGCTATCAAATACCAATTTTGTTCCACAACTTCAAATCTATTATGATTATAATCATTTATTTAATCACTACTGTTACAGTGGAATTTGGGGTAAACTATTTGCAACCACCCAGAAAGAAATGACTGGTCCAGAAGAGCCTCCTTGTGCTCCCCCAATAATATAGTCAAGATTTAGAATCATGTCTTGTTCCAGTTATTCTCATGATGATCCACAATGCTGATTGCTGTAACATGAATGTGCAAAATCTGGTCCATTGTTTTCAGTGGAACTATTTAACATGAGTAAAGCACCCATGATTGTGGGTGAAGGTGGTTGTAAGATATTTGGTTATCAATAGTGCTTCATTGCAATGGTTCAGTTTTAATAAAAAAAATAGTCATTGCTAAAAAAAACCCCTAGAAAGTAGATATTCTCATATTCCCATATTACTGTTTTGGTATTAATTTAACTGAGTTATTTATGCCCCATGCACTTGTTTCCTATATATATGGCAACTGTGTGCATAGGTCACAGGAAATGTTAAGGCCACCAAACTCAGGAATGTAAATGTATTTTAGCAAAGTCCCATCAAAGTAAATCTTTAAATTTTGTCATTTAAACAGCTGCTATTCTAGTTTTGTTCTTGATTTACTACAGTTTATGAATGAGAGTAAAAACAGAATTTTGACAATAACTTTTCATTCTTAAATCCATCTGTAACTGTGATGAAGTGCTGTTTTTCTGTTTGGAAATTCATTACTCTCTCTCGCTCTTGCTCTCTTTCTCTCTAATTACACAACTTGGCTAATTACAGTCAAATATTCTCTGCAAATGTCTATTAGATGTCAAGTTAGATGTCCAAATCAACTGACTTCAGGAAGGGCCTGAACATACTACAAATAAACAAAAATAAATATCATAGCTCTAATTGAGGATTACTGTTAGTGTCACATTGTGCCCTTGGGGGAATGGAGGTTATTTACATGGGTAACAAGACTATTCGGAGTTAGAACAGTCACTGTTAATAAAAAATTTGGGAAGGAATTAAAATCTCACACGTCAGAGTTTTTCAGTCTCCAGCTCTTAGGGATCAGGATGAGATCTCTGTGAGAAGCAAATTACTCCACATCTGCCTACCGTCAATTTTTTTATATCTTTCTCTGCAGCACCAGGTACTGGCCACTGCTAGAGACAAGATAATGGACTAGATGGACCATGGGTCTGATCCAGCCTGGCAATTCCTATTTTCAAGATCTCTGATGGGGGAGAGGAACAAAGCAGTCAGTTTCCCTGGGGGTCAGTGATTTAAAACGTACTGGGTCTCTGGGGCACTACACAGCAGAAGTGGCAGGAGCCACAAGCCCTTTAAATTGCCGCTGACCAAGTGAAGGAAGGCATGCCCCTGCCCTGTCTTTCCTGCCTACTTTGGGACAGGTTAGTACCACTTTCACCACAAATTAGTGCAGTCCTTAGGGTCTGGACTTAATACATCCAAGGGGACTGAGAGAGTTGGCAAATGGCATTGACGAACCTTTGGCCATTATCTTTGAAAAGTCATGGAGATCAGGAGAGATCCCGGATGATTGGAAAAAGGCAAATGCAGTGCCCATCGTCAAAAAAGGGAAGAAGGACAATCCAGGGAACTATAGGCCGGTCAGTCTTACCTCAGTCCCTGGAAAAATCATGGAGGGGATCCTCAAGGAATCCATTTTGAAGCACTTGGAAGAAGGAAAGGTGATCAAGAATAGTCAGCATGGTTTCATGAAGGGCAAGTTGTGCCTGACCAATCTGATTAGCTTCTGTGCTGAAGTAACTGGCTCTGTGGATATGGGGAAGTCAGTGAATGTGATAGATCTTGACTTTAAGTAAGGCTTTTGATATGGTCTCCCACAATATTCTTGCCAGCAAGTTAAGGAAATGTGGATTGGATAAATGGACTGTAAGATGGATAGAAAGCTGGCTGGAAGGCCGGGCCCAGTGGGTAGTGATCAAAGGCTCGATGTCAGGATGGCGGTCAGTTTCTAGCAGAGTGCCCCAAGGATCAGTTCTGGGACTAGTTTTGTTCAATATCTTTATTAATGACCTGGATGAGGGGATGGATTGTACCCTCAGCAAGTTTGCTGATGACACTAAGCTAGGGGGAGAGGTACACACGCTGGAGGGAAGAGATAGAATCCAGAGTGACTTAGACAAATTGGAGGACTGGGCCAAAAGAATTCTGATGAGGTTCAACAAGGACAAGTGTAGAGACCTGCACTTGGGACAGAAGAATCCCAAGCATTGTTACAGGCTGGGGACCAACCGGCTAAGTAGCAGTTCTGTAGAAAAGGACCTGGGAATTACAGTAGATGAGAAGCTGGACATGAGTCAACAGTGTGCCCTTGTAGCTGGACATGAGTCAACAGTGTGCCCTTGTAGCCAAGAAGGCTAACAGCATATTGGGCTGCATTAGGAGGAGCATTGCCAGCAGATCAAGGGAAGTGATTATTCTCTTTTATTCAGCACTGTTGAGGCCACATCTGAACTATTGCACAGTTTTGGGCCCCCACCCCAGAAAGAATATGGACAAATTGGAAAGAGTCCAGCAGGGGGTCACAAAAATGATTAGGGGGTTGGGGCGCAGGATTTAGAAGGAGAGGCTAAGGGAGCTGGGCTGATTTAGTCTTCAGAAGACTAAAAATATGTGGTGAGGGGATTTGATAGCCTTCAACTACCTAAAGGGGGGGGGGAAGGAGGGGTTCCAAAGAGGATGGAGAGAGGCTGTTCTCAGTGGGGACACATGACAGTTGCAGTGGGGGAGGTCCAGGTTGGATACTAGGAAAAATTATTTCACTAGGAGGGTGGTGAAGCACTGGAATGGGTTACCTAGGGACGTAGTGGAGTCTCTATCCCTAGAGGTGTTTAAGTCTCGGCTTGACAGAGCCCTGGCCGGGTTGATTTAATTGGGATTGGTCCTGCCTAGAGCAGCGGGCTGGACTTGATGACCTTCTAAGGTCTCTTCCAGCTCTATGGTTCTATGATTCTATGGAAGCACAATGAGCAGACTGTGCTACGTAGGGGCACAGGGACAAGAAGGCTTTTTGTACCCCCCTCTGATCAGACACTTTTCCCACCATCCCACGCCAGGAAGAATCAAGCTCTTGGCCTTATGGTCAGTCTTTGCTTCATTCAACATTACATGGTCACATCTGGGAGCAAATCCTGCTAAAGCTGGATCACGTGGGTCCTGAGTCAGCAAGCCCCAACAAGTCAATAACTTTGAAATATGGGCTTAATCTCATAGCTGAATAGGTATGATTTGCTGAATTAGGGCCTCAAATAATCCCATTATCATGAATGGGACAACTCAAGTACAATGAGCAGAAGCTAGCCCTTCATCTTCAAAGTAACTACAAGTGAAGTTAGATAAACAGTTTCATAAAAATAATGTTTAAAGTACTGCATATTTATCATACTTAATTTTTCCTTAATAC